CAGATAGGAATACACTCCAATTTCAATGCATATTCTGGAATGTAAAGCTTCATAGAACTACAAAATAATGGAAGTCTTATTGATATGTTTTCATAACACTGTTTGTAAGGCCTGCACATGTGATAAAATTATTATTTACAACTAAGACCAATGAAAAAAGAATACCATTCCAGAAAAAAAAAAAAAAAGTAGAGATCCTGAAACATTTTTGTACTAGTAAAAAACAGAAACAAGATCTATCTTAACATGAAACAAACCCTTCCATGCTTAAATAAGTTAAAAAGGAAAAATAATCTATTTTTGGCAAATTATGCAGATCCTACGTATCACCTGCCTGAAAAACAAATTACCAATTGTCTAAGCTTTTCCTCCTCCTTCGTCTAAAATCCATCTTAATCTCTTTTATTCAGAGCTGTTCTCTGTCCCTTCATTACCAAATATTCCCCACATGCATCTCTCAACAACTCTTGTTTTGAGACAACGATAGTCTGGGACACATAAAAAGCATTAATGAGATGAGATATACAGGCTAACACAGTGAGTTAAAACCACTGGTGAAGAAGGCTTACAAAGATTTTAAATCTTTTGTTGTTTGCTGGCTTATCTCTATTGTACATGAAAGTAAGTTACAAAAGTAAGGATCTTTCAAAGCTACAGTCTTTAGCTAAGGGTCTTACCATATAAAAAGCATGAAAACAAATATAGGAGCAAATGAAAAAAATGGGCCTCTTCCATACCTAGGGGAATTGTTCAATAATGGACAACAATTATAAGCAGAAAATAGACTAAAAACCTTTCTAAAGACTGTAATTAAACTGCAGGGAAGCTTCTTAAATTATGTATCTTTAATCACAATACTTCAGATGAGTTTAGCCACTATCCAGGCTGACCCAAAGTTAAATTAGGTCCTATGAAAACAATGATATGCCATGCACACTACCATGAAAGCCACAACTATTGCTAAGTTTTACTTCCAGTGAGACATCCTTAAGACAGGGAGAGTCCCTGCAGACTTTGCAGCTGCCTAGAAATTATTCTGCAGACAAATCAGAAACGCTTCCTCTCTCTCGTGCACAGAACAGCTTTTCGTTCACGAAGTTAGTGTACGCCACATTCCCAGCTGCCTTAATAACCTGTTTCATGTCAAGCTCCTGTCACCCTTGCTTTCCCAGCTTCCCCCCATCCTCATTACTTTCCCTTACACAAGTCTATCACAAATGCTAGGAATGTGCATGTCATGTACATGTTCTTCAATCCTCTCTTCACTCTCCTTCCACATATATACGGGGGGAGGGAAATTATATCATTTGTTTATGCTTGGTGTTGTCAGATTGGGTTTTAAAAATTCTCTTTGATCTTGTGTTCAAAACAGACATGATCTATTCACTAAACCACTACCAAATTTACATACACTTTAAAATATGATTACAGGTATTACATAAATTAAGGTATCGATTGTAAAACATCCAATTACTCATTGCAAGAAAGGCTTGTTCTCCTGCCACCCCACCCAAGCACATTATTAAGGAGAAAGGATACAAATCTGGCCTGTGGGTTCACTGCTCTGGGCTGTGATCCTATCAAGCCTCGGAACCTAATGAAGCCTGGGCTAGGTCAGTACTTGGAAATCCCCCACCCAAAACAAATCCAGCCGTCCCACAAAGCAGTGGTGGAGATTCAGTAGGCAGCATATGTCTCACTGAGTCAGTACCAAACCAATGTCTCCTCAGCAGAACTATGAACTTTTCAAGAAAAACCAGACCTACGTATATGTGGAGAATTGTCAAAGGAATGTAAAATTTGAAGCAGCATCCCACTTTCTTCCTGACAGAAGGTAGAAATATTAAATAATTTTCCACGCAGAAAATAGCCCAACTGCCATTGAAACAGAGACACTATATCCAACTGGAAGAAAATTAATAAAATATATATTTCTGTATTTTCATATCAATGATTAAATGAGAGGCTGGAAAGGGTCAAGCGCAGAGCTGCTTTCTGTCCTGCATTTTCTATACGAAGTGTCACTGAATAGAAATATTTCTAGCAATTAATGTTGTGGTTTATATTTTTAAGATACTTCTCACAGCAATCCTTTCCCATTTTCTGGTCTGCAGAATGTGACAACATTTTTCTTTTCATACATAACTGATGGTTCTATTTCACAGCTGTTTGCTCTGACATCTTAGCTACCGTATTTTAGCATCATTTTATGCTGACCGATGGCGAAATACAGGAAAAGTCCACACTGCCAACATCAGAACATACATCCAAATTTCCTCATTTACCCTCATAATAAGCCTGAACGCCAACCACATTTAACAGCCTCAGAAATCTGGGCCGTTTGGCCAATTGTTATTACCTTTTCAATTTAGCCCTATTACACAGCTCAGTCACCAAGCCTAGCCCACAGAAATACTTCTTTAATCTCTTCAGAATTGGCATGTGAAAAGCACAAGAGGCTGGAAAGGAGGTCAGTGAAACAACACCGAGCTGCAGTTGTCTACTGACAGGCAGGTTTACAATGATTCACTGCTCAAGTTCACACAAAGTCAATGCAGACCGCACTGCAGTCTATTAATTGGAGAATTGCAGCACGGTTACGTACATGGATCGTTCTCCCAAACTGTGTTGCTTTCATCTGGGTACTCCATATATGTGACAAGCAGAGAGTCTTAGTGTACTTGGTCCCTGAACACTCTTGGGGTCTACAGAAGAATGCAGACTCCACGAATGTTGCTGAAAT